CCATTACAATAATGGAGGCTTGATAGCTTGGGAAAGTATCACTTTGGATGGCCACACTCATCATCGTGTCTTCGCAAAAGGCACTGCGGATGCTGTTTTAATAGAGGCAATGTTTTAATGCAAGGCACATAGTATTCTTTTAATCTATACGTTTCTTGAAAGTGAGGATTTTTGCCTAATGGTTTGGCCAGTTAAATATCCAGATCTCATCCGTATGGAGCATGTCTGGGACGTTATGGGTAGGGCAATTGTAACTCGCAAACTCCCTCCCAAGGCCTGGGAAAAGAGCTACCAAACAAATAGGATTAATTGCCATTAATCATAAATTACCGTATTCCTGGTATAAAATCACGGTGTGTGTGTGTGTGAGGCGTGTTTATCTGAAAGAGATGACGATACCCCATATTAACCCTTTTTGTATTGTTTTATTCGGCAACTGCTGTTTCATACCTTTCGACTTTGATGTGCGTTACGCACTATCATCCGTGTGGGCTAAATGGTTATTTTTTTGCATTATATGAGCCCTATATCCATACGAAATTTCATTAAAATCTGTCTATTAGTTCTAGTGTTTTTTGACAAAATCTAAATATTCTCTTAATTTTGAAAATCAGTGTATATACGAGGTAGGGTTCATCAGTGTATACACGAGGTAGTTCCTGGACTAAGCCTATAACGAAAAAAATTTTTGCAGTTGGGCAACTACGAACACATTTCTGTGTTATTGCATTTTTCTGCTTTTTTTTTTTAAAAAAAGTTCTTTTCAAATCACGCGGTTGGTGGTTCGCCAAGGCGTCATATTTTATTGAGGCATGCATTTAGTCGTCGGTGATGAAAGTAATTTTATTTATTGAGCAGAAAATGAATATTAAATTTTGTGTCCGTTTGAGAAAAAGTGCTATGGAGTCTTACGGAATTTTTAATCATGTATACGACCGCAATACGAATTTAAGCTTTTGAATGACATCGACGTTACATAGATGGCAGAGATAGTGTTGAAGACAACAAATGCTTTGGACATACGTAGACTTCCAGCACAATTTCCAGCAAAAGTTTCTACAATAGTATGGAAGGACGGGATTCAAAAAATAGCAAAATGAGCTGGGATATCCTCAACCGCATGTCAATAGATGCTGACTAAAGCTCTTAACATTCATAGGGTGTGTCAATACATCGTTCCCCGTATATTAAATGAAAACCAATCTGCAGATGAAGTTAAAAGTGCACCACAGACTGAATTAAAGTACATGGTTGAAAATAGATTCCAGAAATGTTTCGATAACTTTTACAAACCAACCGAAAAGTGCGTTGGTGGTGAAGGGCCTTAGTTCGAGGGAGGATGTGTTTCAGCAGTTTAGTTGGAAATATTTTTTGTTATAGTCCAGGAACTTTTGAGTCCTACTTTGTATATATATATATATATATATATATATATATATATATATATATACACTACTGGCCATTAAAATTGCTACACCAGGAAGAAATGTAGATTGATTGACTTAATATTAACGTCGCACTGTTCAGCTACACGAGGGCTTTTGGCGACGAACCACGTAATTTTGAACCATGGTCAAGTGACGAGGACGACACCTGAGCTGGCACCCACCTCTCCTAGCTACCACACCACACCAACGGGTGGATGTTTCAGCTCTGGACAGATTTAACGTGCATCGCTGCCCTACACGGCGGATCTTTAGTGGTACTGGGCTCTAACTCGTGACAAGGCAAGCCACGATCCGATACCTATACCACTTGGTTACCGCGGCTACCAAAGAAATGTAGATAACAAAATGATATTTATTATACAAATATATTATACTGGAAATAAGGTTATTGAATTTTTAAGAAATGTTTAGTGCACAGAGCCTGAGGAATCAGTACCCAGAACAACCACCTCTGGCTGTAATAACAACACTTATACGCCTGGGCATTAAACCAAACAAAGATTGGATGGCATGCACATGTACAAATGCCCATGCGGCTTTAACATGATGGATCAACTCATCAACCGTAGTGACTGGCGTATGGGGAGGAGACAGTTGCTCGACAACCATGAACCAGACACATTCTATTGGCGAAAGATCTGGTGAATGTGCAGGCCAATGGGAACAGCTGAACATTTTCTGTATCAAAAAAGATCCGTACAATACCGGGTGAATGAGTGAGTAAATAATAACATCACACTATTCAGTAAGACGAGGGCTTTTTGGCGATGGACCACGTAATTTGAATCATGGTCAAGTGGCGTGGACAACACTTGACCTGGCACCCCGTTTCCTAACTACCACACCACAACACGGGAGGACGTTTCAGCTCTCGACAAATTTAACGGGCATTGCTCCATTACATGGCGGGTCTTTAGTGGTACTGTGCTCAAAATAGTGACAATGCATGCCACGATCCGAAACCTTGACCTCTCGGATACCGTGGCACCGTACAATACCGGCAGCCTGCGGTCATGCATTATCCTGCTGAAACATAGGGTTCGAAAAAAGGGTAGAGCCACAGGTCGCAATATACTAGAAATGTAACGTGCACTGTTTAAAATGCCACAAATACAATCAAGAGAAGACCGATATTGTGTATCCAATAGCACCCCATACCATCACGCGAGGTGATGGACCAGTATGGTTATGACGAATGCTATTACCAGGATGCCACGAAACACGGATGTGACTATCTTAATGCTGTAAAAAAAGCCTGGACTCATCTGAAATAACGCAATTCGAAATTGAATATCTTTTTTTTTTTAATTTCTTTTTTTCCGAAGATTTCGTAGATCGGTCGATTGGAGCCCTGGATTAATAACTTTTGTACCCGGGTTCGAAGCAATATCATCGCTTAGCTTTAATGATTTTTTTAAAAAATACTCAAAGTTTTATTCGCATATTTAATAATTTCGCCCCAGCAGTTTTGTAATTGGAATGATAATTTATTTCGTCAACATACAGTATGTTTCTTTTTCAAAACAACGATACCTTATATGTTTTGATTTTTTTCTAAAATGAATCAATATCGAGGCCTTTATGTGAAAATGATTTTTAAAAAACTCATGCTTTGATCTTTTAAAGTTATTGATTTAAAAAAATAAAATGTAGAAAACTTTGTTTTTTCCTTTTTAGCAAGAAATATTTAAGCATTATTTTTGTTACATTTTTTGCTTAAAAATAACCGTTGTTTTCAATCGATATATGAAGTTTGAAGTCACTAACTTAAAAATGAAGCTAGACAAAAATGTTAAACTTAAACAATTAACGCAATGCGAAATTCAATATATTCTTCTTTTATTTTAAAAAGGTCTTTTACTTCTTTTTTTCCGAATATTTCGTGGATCGATCACTTAGAGCGCTGGAATAGTAACTTTTGTACCCGGATTCGAAACAACATCATCGCTTAGTTTTTAGGATTTTTCTAAAAAATACTCAACATTTTATTCGGGCATTTAATAACTTCTGCGGCAATTTTGTAATTCGAAAAAAAAACTTTATTTCGTCACGATACAGTATGTTTTTTTTTTCTTTTACAAAACAGTGATACTTCACATATTTTATGTTTTTTTTTCAAAAATGAATCAATATCTATGCGTTTATATGAAAAGGATTTTTGAAAAACTCATACTTTGATCTTTTAGAGTTAGTGATTTAAAAAAAAATGTTGAAAACTTTTTTTACGAATTTTTGTGTGCAATAATTCATTACTTTTGTGGAGATCCCCTTGGATCTCACTTTGAGAACGAGAATAATTTTGAGTCAAAGAAGAACCAGTAGCCATTTTTATAAATAACTTTCTTTATTTGGTTATCTTTCCCAAATAGAATCAAAGACTTTTAATAACAAATAAATCAAAATAGCTTTATGAGGTTTAAAAGGGACTTTCCTTTATATTAACTTAAATATTTAATGATCCAATTAATTAACAATTAGAATTTCGATCACGCAGAGATTACCGCAATAAGAGATCCCAAAATTATATTCAATAATGTTCCTACTGAGCAATTAACTTTAATCTCACTCCTAATATAAAACTTTAAAGAGACTAATTATAAATCAATATTTACCACACTGAATCTCAGCTCTTCCTGAGCCTAACTTATCCACCTAGAAATCTTCAATAATAAATCTCTAACTTCACTATTATAACTTCCTCTTTCAATCTCTCTCTCCTACTGTCTGTCTCTCCTGCTGTGTCTCACACTTCACTATTCCGTTTGACTTAACTACTTTATCTAATCTGCATAATAAGGAATCCCTGTCCTCTTTTTGGAGTTGATTGGAAAAAGGTAGGGAATTAAATTTCCCTCAAGAAGACGTCTCAGAAGGTTAGTGATAAAGTTTCGTATAGATTTGTCACACTTTTTGTACCATTAAATGGCTGCACGTGCCAAGCTGCCTAAGAATCGGTCAATGTTTACTTGCTCGAGAGCTCTGATAGCGAGAGGAGGAGGGGAATTTCCATGACAATATGTTATGCATTTAAAAATGTTCGTGCTACGCCGTGGTGAAATAACCTGTGAATAAACCTGTCTGACAAATAAAAAAAGTGAAACAATTTCGGAACAGGGAGTTTTTAAAGTTATACACTCAGTAAAAGCCACGGCTAAGTAGAGGAGCGGGGGGGTTGGAAGTCATTTTGAAAAAGAGTATTAGAAGTGCTGATTTTGTGAAGGAAAGAGAAAATTTATATATACAAAAGTAGAGAAAGCCCATGCAACGCTGGGCCATGCAGCTAGTATTTTTAATTAATTGCGATATTGGAATATAAATGGTCAAATCATGCATTGTCATCCAAACTTAACGGGTATACAAATTTTTAGCTCAATCAGCTCCAAAATTGAGTTGCAAGATTCCACACGAACATTTTACACTGCAAGTTAAATAAGAGCTTGTAAAATATACGTATAAAGTACTTTGTACGTATACACAGTGGAAGTATTATAAAATACCTTGTTGTACAAAGCAAACAAATTTCAAAAATATTTTACACGAGAAAATGACAATTGGAGGCGCGGAGTATCGACCCCCGTACCTCTCGTATGCTACGCGAGTGCTCTAACATTTGAGCTACGCTCCCAGTCGACACTTGTTATTGTAAACATTCTCTCCTTAACACCATGAGAAGGTTACATTAACTAGGTCAATTAAAAGTGTTGCGGGAGAAAATAGAATCAAGTAAATAGATATCACATAGAATGTTTCAAAGTAAAAAGAAATAGCTTGATACATGTGCCTTTCTTAGTGTTTACTCTAGAACAGTAAAAATATAAAATACTTTGTACGTATTCAGAGTGGAAGTACTGTAACCTATCCAGTTATACAAATACAAACGAATTTCAAAAACATTTTGCACGAAAAAATAATTGGAGGCGCGGAGTTTTTGTCCCTGTACCTCTCACATGCCAAGCGAGCGCTCTACCATCTGAGATACGTCCCCGGTCCTCACCTTTGTTATTGTAAACATGCTCACTTTAACACATGAACAAGATTGTTACAGTACCTAGGTCGCGATATCGGAATATCAATCGTCAAAACATGCATATTCATCCAAACTAAACGTGTATACAACATTTCAGCTCAATCGGCTGAAGACATCAGTTTCAAAATTGAGTTGCAAGATTGCACCCGAACACTTTACATTGCAAGTTAAATAAAAGCTTGTAAAAATGACGTCTGTCCATTCATGCATCTAGGTTAGTAGTTGATTACGCCATTGAAGACTGTTGTCGGTGATGCAGCGTCATAAGGAGCAACCATGGTTTACGAGCTGAGAGTCCATGCTGCAGCAAACATCGTTGAATTGCTTGTGCAAACACTTTGTCTTGCAAACGACCCCAATTCTTGACTCAGGGCTCATGACGGGGGCACACGATCACTTAAGTAGCACAATTGATTTAATTACGCTATCTAAATTTTTATTTTCTTTGCCTGAGTGATGGGTTTAGAGAAGTCCAAAGTTTTAAAAAGATCCCAACTAACTTTTCACTTTGATTAGTACTGAAATTGCATTGTGCATTCAAATCAATAAATTATGATAAGTCTGGATAATAAAGTGTTTACTATAGAAGTAGAATTGTAATGTCTTAAGAGTGTATATGATTCTGCGGAATTTTCTTTCTGTAGTTCCGTATCCTTTTCCATATTCAGTTAATTTTGTACTCAAGTGAAGTAGAGGATGTTCTTCACCTTTGTAATTAATCTGTTGGAGTCGAAGGCACGACATATAATTGGAAAACTGTACTCGAGAATTGGCCGAATGAGCGCCAAGTGTAAGAGTTATTGAATATTAACGTCACACTGTTTAGCTACACGAAGGCTTTTAGCGACGGACCACGCAATTTTGAACCATGGTCAAGTGCGTTGATGACACCTGAGCTGGCATCCTTCTTTCCTAACTACCACATCACACCAACGGGAGGACATTTCAGCTCTCAACAGATTTAACGTGCATCGCTGCCTTACACGGTGGGTTTTTAGTGGTACTAGGCTGGAACTCAGGACATGCCTACCATGATCCGATACTTTGATCACTAAGGTACTGCAGTCCGAAATGAGCACCAAATATGTATCTCCAAGCTTAATTGCATCAGATGTCAATAAATTAAGTCGAAAGAGAATCAACATCGTAAATGCAACTATGTACTCTCGACAAAATATTCGATGCACATGCGACTCGATAATTCAGTGTCTAAAATAAGCTTTAAATACTCATTATTTATTTCTTTGATTTCCCGAGACAATCTGGTATCATTAATACAGGTGCCTTTTTATAGTAAAAAATATATTGAGAGGGGTCGAAATGAAGCTTTAGCTTTTCTTTTAAACTCATTTGTCAAGTTTTAAAGAAAAGCTAAAACTTCAGTTATTGAGTTTCAACTCCAATTGAGATGTATTTGAAACCAGAGCTCTCTGAAGAACAATGTCGTCTAAAATCATTCAGATCTTTAAAGAAGGCACTTTGTCTGCCCAAATAATTAGAACAGATAAGTTTAAGGTTAGAACTCGACCATTTATAGAGCTTCGACTGAGCTGTTGCATATATTGGAAGATATTAACGTTTTGTAGGAAATGTGAAACCCTTTTGATGAGCTATCTCGTCAGATATGTTGAAGGCATAATTTTAAAATTAATTTGCGCTTTCGAATTAGTGTCTAAACCTTCGTTCAATTTAAAAAAGCAACCACAATAACACTAGTCAATTTTTAATTTTGAGCGTTTCTAATGTTTCAAATAAAATACAGGACTTGGTCTCCGACCCTTTATAATAGGAGTCCCTTATTGCTCGTAAGGCATTCCATTATTACCGTCTACACACTACTGGATTTTAAACAAGAACCATTTCCCTCATTAATTTACATTTTTTTTTTACAAGTTAGACCTGTAGGTGCAGTGTGCTCAGAAGAGCAAAGATTACCCTGTTTTCCCCTCCTGGAGTTACCACGGTGCATTACATAAACTAAGGTATCCAACTCATTTTTACCTAGTCAGATTGATAATGTCAGCCAGCCTTTGTCCACGTTTTTCAAGAATTTAACATTGAAGCCCTAGAGATTTATTCAGGTCGAAAAGGGCAAATCAAGAAATAACTCCCCTACTCCTAATTTACGAGGCCAAAACTACGACAGAAAGACATGGATGACATTCTGGCTCTTTTTTCAAAATTGTTCCATTCTCGGATGAAAGTTAAGCCTACTTGTAAATTGATAATGGACAGCAAGGCCATTACCTACAGATTTGAGCAGGCTTTTCCAGATGGCATTTGCATATCCGAGTTGCATATTTCAAACTGATTCGGTTCCAACTTGATGCTCCTTACTACATTCAGTTTTATTGCATATTTCTTTTCATTATTCTCTTTCAGATGGCTAGTTTTAATCGCATTGATTTTGTTAATCTCAGCTCCTTCATTCTCGATATTACCAAGTGGCTCGATACAGCGTTTCTTCTCTTGAACAGGAGAAGAGGCAGAAGCATCATAATAAAAATATACAAGGAATGTAGCGTTCGACGTTAATCTGAGGGATACGGGATCTAACGTTGCCAAGAACAATTTTTTATAAAAACTGACCAGTTATTAAAACACAACACTTGGGTCTCCGAGTGAGACGAGTGAATATTAACGTCACACTATTTAACTACACGAGGGCTTTTGGTGACGCACCACGTAATTTTGAACCATGGTCAAGTGAGGATGACGGCGCCTGAGCTGGTACCCCACCCCTAACTACCACACGACACCAACGGGAGGACGCTTCATCTCTCGACAGATTTAGCGTACATCGCTGCCCTACACGGTGGGTCTTGACTGATACTGGGCTCGAATTTGTGACAAAGCCAGCAACGATCCGATACCACTCCGCTACCGCGGCCACAGCGTTTCATAGTGAGTCAAGTGACGAAAAATTGTCGAAATCAACCCCAACTAGGCCTGTTAAGGCTACACAATTTACTCCGTTAACGACCCTCTATCGTTTCCCAAATACAGTGAGGGTAGGCAAATGACCGTTTCTAACGTGATCCAGTAGACCAGGTGCAATGAAGAAACATATCTGCATTAGAAATTGTAATGATCAAAAAAAAAATTCGATCTCGCGCTTACGAGTATTAGTTAATGTAATTCCCTTCATCCACTAACACCTATACTACTTTTGGACGTTATGAATTAAAGCACTTATTAGATGGTTTCCTCCTACTTCTGGCTGCAACCACACACATTCTGGAGTGGTTTTTTTTTAAACTAAGACATCTATTTTGTAAATGAAATGGAAAGAAACCTTCAAATAAAAAAAAACACTTTATTTCACAGACAACAATAGATTAAAAACACTTTATGAATTAAAATCGGCAACATTACAGCGCCTTGTTTAAAATTTCGGAGCAAAGTAGTTACTTTTTAGAGAGAGATTCACAGATTATCCATATAGCTGCGCCAACTAGCCCAAGACTAAGGGCTCCGAGTCCCATCATTAGACACTTTTTCTGGAAGGGGAGACGGGGAGTATGAGGTGTGGTTGGAGACTTTAGTTCGAATTCATTTTTTAAAAAACTTTTATTTTCGATATGCTTTAATATATGATTTAGTTATAAAATGCTCGTGCTCCCCAGGAGAGGCGCGCCACAAACTTTGAGAAACACTGATGTAGAATAGTAGGACATGCATTGATTGGAATCCTGGTCATGGGTATAGGTATACAAATTTCGTCCCGAAGGAAATCAGAAAATCCTCCTTGAACCGAGGTTTTTTTTTTCCATCCGCAAAGATTCGTCTTTTTTTTCTTTTTCACATTAAGGAAAACAAAGTACCTGAAAGTGTCTAATAAAGGATCATCTGCAGATCTTTGAGGACGAAGACACAAGATTTCAGGATTTTAAAAAAATGGAGCCTAAATTCACACAAGTTGCTCTCTTATCCCATTACTGCTGATATTCGTACAGCATCTGTGGAGCTACAGCTTAAACCAGTGCTTCTCAAACTTTCAATAGTGGCGCCCCCCTTATCAATCACAATTTTTATCGCGCCCCCCTTATACATAATAATGTACTGAATGCAATAATAATGCATTTTTTTTTACGCTAAAGCAATAATCTTAATTATATACCGTACAACTTCATGACATAAGTATTAAATTTTGTATATGTTGCTTTTAAGCAAAAAAAAAAAAATATTAAGTAATAGTATAATTATGTTATTTTTCCTTTCTCTTATTTTTAAATTGGAACATATTGCAAAATGCAGTGGCTGCTTAGAAGACAAAATATAGATATCAGCTTTTTTTAGAAAGAACTCAGTGGGTCAATTTCTAACAAAAAAAAAGTATTCCTTTGAAAAATTTGCTCTGTAAGACAAACCCATGGAAGTCGCAAATACTTATTAAACTTGTTCTTAATTTAACATTAATTAATTAGTTATAAAATACTCTGTGCAGCACTGATACATTAAAAATATACCGGCTGAAGTACCCGCTATTTGCACGAGCTCATTTATAAGAAAATAAAACATTATTGATATAATCGCTGAATTTTAAGGAGAGTAAAGCCAAGTGCGCAACAATGTTTACAAAAATGTAAAATGATTTT